CCAATGCTCCAGTAGGTAACACTTACGATCCAGGATTTCAAGGTAAAACGGCTGCTTCATGGCCTGCTGGTTCATCGCAAACATTTCAAATATTTGTTTCCCAAATCCATTCACCGGAAAACCAAACTATTTATCCCACTGATGGTTGGCAAATTCGTTATCGGGATGGTACACAGCCTGGTTCAATATTTTCTCCGATTGCATTTACTTATTTAAATACATCAATATCAGGATCCATTGGTCTTGCTCCGGCCATTAGATTTCAGTTAGGTCAGACAGTTTTGGCTACAATTACTGTCCCCTTGAATACGACTACAGACGGCATATTTCAATTCTTTTGGCGTAATAATGAAGTCGGTCCAGGTGTCATGTGGTTATCGTGTGTCGATGTTACCATTACAGCTCTTGGCACCATTTCAGCTCCGACAACATATATTATTGTTCTTGCTACTCTTTTGACCGCTATTAGTGCAGTATTAAATCTATAAAATAATACTTACACATACGTCGGACAAAGATTAAAAAGTACTGAACTTTAAGTTTGACTAAATGTGCATTAATGTTAGATATAGATAACAGTTTGCGCATTAGATATCGAACAATGGATGTTACAGCCTAAAATTTCATCTTATCTTTTCTCTATTGTATAAATTATCGTTACTTCTCAATTATTCATGCACCACAAACTATTTAATTCATTGCGTTTCATGTTCTTATGAAGTTTGGACATAATTTTACGTTATGATAATTATTTTAAGCCATTTTAACTAACTTTTAACGTAATTTAACGAACTTTAAACTACTTTAATATACTTTAAGGCACTTATGCACTTGTACTTTAATGTGGGGCATGGATGTGAACGTTTGTATTCTCTGTATCCATATCTAAACTTACAGTCAAAGCAACAACCCCATAAAGATAATGTTAGCTTTACTAATTACTAGTTCGTATGAGTTTAAGCCAATAGTACTGTGAATTGCAAAAGTGATAGCATTCAGATTCCGTAAAGCATATGACAAGAACTTCGGTTGATTGAAATATTCGTGTGTTACGAGGGAAAAAAGGACGAAATAAATGCAAAAAATTTAATACAATCATCTGTAGAATAACATTTTGCCGTAAGAATTCTGCATCAATCTAGGTGTAAAAGAATCATCCATACATCTATTAATTGATACAACAATCCTATTCTCAATATATTGACACAACTAGCTACATTGTTGTTATGGCCGAAAGAAGCCGTAATGAAGTCTATTTTTTTGAAATAGCAAGAGGTAGCTTTGAAGTTGTTCTCTCAGTGATGGATTACTTTACTTTGACTCTAACTGACCAGTACCTGTCGTTGGTCGAACGTTTTCAAAGATTTCAAGCAATAGCTAGTAGGAAAACGCTTGGCATCAGACATAAGAAAAGTTTTCATAGTATTCGCATTCTTTGTTCAAACAATATTGATTTTCTCGGTTTTTGAAGTATTTGAAATATTTATCTGAAGTTAAATGAATGCTTCTTAGCACGAAGAAGTACAAGACCTAGACAGGTTCTATCATTGTCTAATGATTGCATTGTATGGATAAAAATCTGATGCCTACTTCAAATTAACCTTGCAACTAAATGGTAAAATGCCATACTCCATGTAACCATCAAAAGCATTTTGGACGCGGCTAGATGCGTTTATGTTGCAAATCTTCGGCATTCTGACGCGTTTGCGTATCGAAACATGACTGAAACGCATCTAGATGCACCGATCACTGTGTTTCTCGAACGCATTTAGAGAACATCTGTAGTTTCAGAATATTTTTTAGATTAAACGCATACAAATGCATTGTAGTTTTGATTCTAAGATGTATTGGGACGCATTCATGTCACTTTATACCTCTGGTCACGTTTAATAATTAAAAGAAGCTATCTCTCTTCCAGTGAACGCTATCTAGTTGATAGGATCCATAAAACGCGTTTTACAGGATGTTTCTGTCAATGCATCGAATTTGTCGAAACGTGTTCACATGCACTGGTTTTCGAAACGCAGTTGAATATATAGTTATATAGTCAGTTTAGTTAGTGTTGATAATTATTTTAAAAAGAAAGTTGCATCTGTACGAAAATATGTCCATGAATCTAGCGTGCTGTATCTTCATTGAAATATTGTTATGACTGGAGTAAATACTGTGTGTCATGATATTAGGTTTAAAAAATAGCAGCTGAAAGAAAAATATTACTATTTGTTCCATTTAGTTCTACGTATATGATTTTCTTTAATTTAATTGAACAAGAATAATGAGCTAAAGAATATGTCTAGGAAAGATTCTTTATCACACATATCTCAAGAAGCTGTGTATTCATGCGTAAACTTCTAAAACATCTCTGAGCGTATATAAATTGTACAACTTGACGCGTTTGAATGCATCCAAAATGCAACATTTTTGGGCATGTGAATGCGTTCAAAAACCAAAACACTTGTAAACTTGTCCACGTTGAAAACATATTTATATGTGCTTTCTGAATTTTCTACATTACGATACTGTTATAAGATAAACTCTTTTACTTTATTCTCAAAAAAAAAATCAAAAAATAACCATCGCTATGTGTCGGAATCGAACCGGATTCTAGAATTCAGACTGCATTGTTATCATTAAAATATAACCAAATTGGATTTGATCTAAAAGATTAATGATATATAGCAGTATTCGTATCATAATTGATTGCTATTTGCACATCTTTGACTGAAAATATTTTTTTGTTGCCAAAATTGTATGAATCGTTCTACATTACTTCTAAAATGCTTAGAGATGCACAGACAGTAAGTTGTAATCATACAGTTTTTGAATTCGTTTGATATATTAAATTTTTGCTTGATTAAAAGAACATATCAAGACGCAGTACATGACTGAGCCCTTTTTTTAAATTAAGCTGTGTTTTCATTATATATGCAGACACTTATATGATTAGACACCCATTTCTTGAGAGTTTTTTGTGTCATTGAACTTGTCATTCCTTTTCATCGCTAGAAAAGTAAGTATTTAAACAAACAGAATTTTGAGATGCCAAATCGGCTATTTTTTATCCTTGTTTGGCGAATATCTCTATCAAACATCATGATATCGAACTGACAATTTTATCGTAGCTTCTCCACTATATTCTGAAAAATTTCATGCAATTTGAACGCATCTGGGCTGAGATCGATTTTTGAGGGTGACTTTAAGTTTAGGTTTTTGCTTACAAAAGTGACGTGTTTCTTCTGTATTATGTAACTCTATAAAAGAGAAGAGTTGATTTTACTGTTCTTATTTTTTTGATAAATCTATAGTAGTTAGGTCATTTTATTGTTGTAAGAGTACTCTTCTTTTCTACATTAAAAAAGACTAGAAAAAATATCGTACCATGAAAAACTTATTGTTATCGTTCTTTATAAAAATAAACCGAAAACGAAAAAATGGCAAAAATATCTTGATTCGACTCGACTCGCACTTTCATGTTCATTTTGGCAAACCAAACTATGGCAGAGATACACTTCCATGCCAAGTATTGCGGCAGTACAATGAAATGCTCACCAACACCGGTACAAAGTCAACCAAGAAAGTGGCACAAGAGTACAGCAGTAATGACGATCATCGACGATGGCACTTTGTTGTTTCACACGGTTATAGTGACTGTTCCTAAGGATGCATTTATCGAAAAACGTTTCTATTTGTTTACGATCGTGACCACAAGAAAGTATCGTTAGCAGGGAGCGAAAATGAACCGAACAGGACTTGAATCAGTTTTCGAAAAAATAATGTCGAACTTGGTCGAATCAGAGCTAATGTTTTGAGATAGTTGAATGCGTCTAAGGTTAGATGAAAAATAATTGATTGAACTATTGCCAACCTGAAAAGGTATTATGTCTTTGGCGAAGATAAAATAAACTTTATTGATTGTTTTACATGTATAATTTAATATATATATATAGCAATCTTGTTTCTATCTTCATTCTTCGTAAAACATAGATAACGAAATAATTGTTATTCTAATTATCTGATCTATGTTCTAAATATGTCTGATTATACATCAGATAATTGTTAACCTATGCTATAGATATTGAAAGTTTTCTCCCATTATATTTAACTTCCTTTTCTTTGTATTGTTGGTCAATCTAAATAAATTGGCTGGTCAATTTAGTCCAAACACAAAGAATTGTTTATAGATTATAGACTAGTCTGGACTAGGACTGATAAATTCTCAAAAATGGACTAGTCATGATGTATACAGCTGAACTTGGAGACTAGTAGTCTTGACTACCATCCAAGACATTTCAGACTAGTAAGTCACTTGTTTTCAACTGGTTCTAATATCACCTAGCTGAGGAATGAGCATCGTTCTGCTATTCAGACTGTCTCAATTGACGTCAGTCTATCGCTATGTCATATTCTGCCGGTAGGGTGCCATTCAGATATCGAATACTATTGGATTGAACGTTCGAGTCCACCTTTCATTTTATTCTTTTATTATTTTTCTATATTACCGACTAGTCTGAACGAGATTAACGAAGTCTAGACATGAATGCAACACATTTCTTATAAAGATAACTAGTCATGACAGATATTGTGGACATTTTAGATTAATCATGTCGGCCGTCTTCTATTATTTTTTTTTCTTTTTGAAAATGTCACCTTTTTTTTTTTATTTCGTTCTGTTTATATGAAGAAGTAAGTCAGTTCTTCTCTCTAGATAACAAGCTTTTGTTTTATATTCACTATACCACATACATGGCTACTGACATCGTTTTGTTAGAAATATTAGGCGTCATTCTTATTTTCAATATAATTATTGCGGATGATCCATGTAAATATGAAACACCCAATAAAGGTCTAATTGATCTTTCATCTATTGGCAAGATGGATGGAACACCTGTTTGGAAAGATATTCCACCAGATAAAACCGAAAATTATGGCAAGTTATACTATACGAATTTTATTTGATTTCATTGTTGCTTCTTTTTTTTCTAGTCTATTCGTACAATCCCTGCTATCCGTTTAGTGAAAAACTCTGTACAAATGTAGCTGGCTGTCAGAGTAAGATAAATCAACATATTGCAAATTCATGTATTTAATATAATAATTAATCATCTAATTAGTTGGAAAGGATGGCAGAGTATCCTATTCGATTGGTACACAGGCAAGTATAATTTGGAAAAATACTCTTGATGATATGCCTAGTCTAGTCTATACATCGGCTGATCGCACCAAACAATTATTTGTTGATATGCTTTGTATTCAATCGGATGAGCACAAACTTGAAGTACATGGTGAAACTAAAACGAATGAATATCATATGACATTATCTACTAAATGTGCATGTTGGAATGGTTGTAAAGGTAAATGATTTTTTCGACGTTAAGTTTCAAACAAAGTCTATTGTTTTTTCGATTAGATAGTCCAAAACCAACAAAACCAAACAGTCTCACTACTGGAGCTATTTTGATTATCATATTTGTAGCTGTTGTGTTTCTCTATTTGATCACGTTTATATCGTATAATCATTTCCGTCTTCAACGATCCGGTATTGATCTTATTCCTCATCGCAAATTTTGGATTGTCCTGCCTGGCTATGTTAAAGATGGTATCATTTTTGTCTATCATCGTGTTATATGTTCTAGTCGAGGTGCGTATCAATCAGTTTGAAGAGAACAAAAGATGGATATTCTGCTTTATCGAACTGAACATAATTTTATCACCGTTTGAGAATGATGATTGTCTATTTTTCGCTTTCCACATTTGATTCATTACAATGATGAATCTTAAGTAAACATCTTTGTATTAGTATTTTTTGCGATTACACAAAAACGAGTATCATCACATCCCTCAGTTTACGCTTGAAAAATGCACACTAGACTAAAGAAAAACTTCCTTCTCTTACGACGCTTCTTTTACTCTGTAAATCAGTAGAATAAGGGTGTGAGTGTGGGTGTGGATATTAGTGTGAGTGTGTGGATGTGGATGAGTGAAGAAGATAAGGGTACACCCGCACCCACACTCGCATCTCACCCTCACCCACCCGCATCCCACACCCACATCCTCAGTTTAACAGAGATGAACCAGTCACATTTTTTATATTAGACAAGGGAGAAACGACTGACTTTTGACTTTTTTTGACTTAATTGACTTAAAAATTACTTTGATAACTTTTAAAGTCATCAAAGTTATTTGTCTTAAAACCAATATATCTTGCTATATTCGTATGTTTCTTTCAATATTGACACCCTTCAGCTTTATATACAGCGAAGACACTTTAGATATAAAACCCATAGTAAATTTCGAAGAAAAAAAATGAAAGAGGATTATCTTTGTCTAGGATTAATTCAAGTGGTTTTGATAGTGATTAATACAAAGTTGAGATTTCTCTAAAGGAGAGTTCTGCTTAATCTGATAAAAAGCTTTTGATATCTGGATTGATATAGTTCACAGACACACTTGATATTTTGTAAATATAAGTCTTTCAAGATGATTTTTGTGTAATGTATATAAACAAATATGTCACACAAAAAATCATGAATATTGTACGCATGAAAACGATTAGTAGATTGAATGATGGATAATTCAATGACGTTCGTCAACAATTAAAATTTTCATTGAAATATTTCACTTGTGAAAATAGTTACTAGATTTAACGAGAATCAATCAGTTAAGTTTCGTGAAAAATACAGAAATTCATGAAAACACGTTAATATGTTTAACGTATGAAAATGAATACCAAGTTTAACGATATTTAACATGGTAAGATTGGTTAAAAATAAAAAAACTCAAGAAATATCGTTAAACTTCTTAATGCGTGAAAATGAATGCAATGTTTAACGATATATAATGAATTAGTTATAGTTAAAACGACAATCACGTTTGAAAAATCTAATGCGTTTAAACGAGTTTTCGGAATATAACGAAAGTTCATGGAATTTTCTTCGTGAAATTTCGTTAAATATCTTTTTATTTTTACATGGGTACCAGGAGATATAAGACAAGCTTTTGGAAAGGGCATGTTCGTGTAGTTTTGCAAGATACACTAAGGTCGACTTATGCTAAAAAAATGATGACGAAGTCCCGTGAAATAACGGAGACTGAAGTTACACAAGCCAAGTATGAGTTGATATGTATCCTATATCTCATATCATCCTATATACCCTTTATCAAATGCGTGATAAAATTAGTAGGAAAATTACTATTATTAGCAAAACTAAAGTCTAGATATTTACTGGACTCAATTACCTTCGTGATCATATATAATTAGTGGGCGTTCTGTTAGCATTTTCAAATATGGCCGATTTTGCTAGGAAATCCACTTCCATCTTTTCATTTGAGCTTTCTGCTCTTTCTCTCGCACAGACTAACTGTCATAAAATAAGAAATGGTAGCTAGTAGCTTGCTAGTATATCCTATTAAACAAAGCAAAATAATTCTGTAAATAGGAGATCCTACACAAAAAATAACCAAATGTTCACACGAATTACGTGTAATGGTATGATTTCGATGCGCACTGTCTGAAATCCTAGAGAGCATTCTGGGCCTATGATAAAAGCTCACAGAAGTTTCTCATTGTAAACCTAGCGAGTTGGACTAGCTGGCTTTTTTTAAGGAATTGCACATATGGCTCTTTGTTTGATTTTTTCCTTTGTTAGAATTTGTTCGTTTTCTTTCATTATCATGATCGAATGAATTTAGGATTGATGGATGAAATATAGCCATTTCACTATACTGAAACCACTTTTATTTGTTGATTCAAAGTATTCCATGGTGTCCAATCGTTTAATTAATATGAACTATCGATTTTGAATGTGAAATCTCGCTAAAATAAGTATATCAGTTCATTCTATGGAACGCAATCATTTTTTCACCATTGTAATAACAATGTGCACAACCAGAAAATCTTAAAAAACGGAACTTCTACTCAGCAGCGGTTTCTTTTTCGAGAAGGTATCCACTAAGCAATTGATTGAGTATTTTATCTGAGATAGTTCGCATTACAGCCAGTCGGATCTAAAATTTTTAGAACCAGTCTCATAGATCTGGATCATTGAACATTAGTTTGGGTTCGAATCGTACTCTCAACACTTAATAAAATTAGTTTTTATTCGCATCTGATAGGCAATAAAAAGTTTTCAAGCCAAAAGTCAGACGGATTCGCGATCAATCCAGTCGACTGTAGATGAATCTACACAAGTATAGAAAACATGTTTTTTTGAAAGCTTTTTGCATTATTGAGTTCTACTAGATCGAAACAAAACTGTTGCTTGATCTATCCATTGCCACGTTTTATTTATAGAGTAGTAGGAAGAAAGATAGCTATAACTCGCTAAAAATGACAAGGAAAAATCCTTGTTTAATACTAGCCAATTTATATGATATTTTATTTTAATTTTTAATAGATGTGTCTTATATGATTAGATGTTCAGAAAGTGTCGACATTGATCTTTGCATTTTAAATTTTATTCCGATAGCTAAAGTTTTCATGTCAACTTCTCTGTTTTATTATTTTGTTGTCGTCAAATAACCGTCTCGATTACTGTTGTTGTGTATTTAACCTTGTCCGAGTATGAGTAATACAAAACCATCAACATGCACATGTCTGCTTAGAGGAAAAGAAAGAAAAAAAAAACAATACTAAGACATGACTTTTATTTTTTTATAATGAAATATAATAAAGCATCTTTCTCTTCGTATGGCAAATACGCTCGAAACACGGTTATATAACACACTTAAACGAAATCCTAATTCAAAAACGGTCAAAGAATTGATTGAGCAAGGTGTCGATTGTAATTTATCCCATTTTGATCCTGATACTCGCTCTATTATATTTCCTATCCAATTGGCTTCAAAAACAAATCGGCATGATACACTTTGTCTTCTTTATGAACATCGTAATAGGCCAACAAAACTACAACTCGAAAGACATTTAACATTTTATATCAATCATTATGATCAAACACAAGAAAAGAAAAATGAAATACTTTTTGATTATATTATAAGTCGTCTTCTTTATGGTCGTATTATTCAATATCCTAAAAATGTCTTCGATACTTTAATTGCTGCTCTTCACGATTATGATAATGCTACACATCGTGGAGAATGTGTGAGCAAGGGATCTTTACCAGAAATATTTCTTCAGCTTCGTATTTACACTCTCTTTCGAGTAATTATCGACATAAACATCAATTCTGATAATGATATGTTCACAATTATTGAAAACGAACTTTTACATAATTTGGAAACATTTTATTTTCTCATCGGTATATCTTCTATGCCAGTAGTAATACCTGAACGAATAATTAATGACAAATTTTCTGAAATACGTTCATCACAACGATTATTGATCAAATATTATAAATGTATTGCAAAAAATGTCATATATAAAATCGAACAACTGGAAATCAATCAAGAATATACTATTCCGACTGGATGGGAAAGTCATGCTGTTTGTGTTTCATTTCAACGTATTAGTCAAACACATATAGTTATTCGAATTGACAATCCCAGTGGTTGTCATCTACCAGATGAACATGAAATTTGTCAATCAACGATTAGTTATAATCGAATCGAACCGAAAATACTTGGCCAATTGCATGTAGATAATTTACAAAAGAATGTCGATTACTTTATTTTACTGATTGATAGTGTTAAACGAAAATTGACATGTGAAGAAGGTAGATCATTGATCTATAATCTTAATACGCAAATTCATCATCTTGAGAAAATATCAACTGAGAATATACTCAGTTTTGAAAAACAAGCTGATTGGAATTGTTTCTTCAAATGCTTTGAACCTGGTATGCGAATACGTCTTGGTAGAAAACATCAGGAAATTTATCAACATTGTCTATTATGTGAAAAAAACAATGCAAATTTACTTGCAAAACGTTGTGAAGAAGAAGATCAGCATTATCTTTACGAACTTTTTCATCAATTTGTTTCATTATCCAAAGAAGAGGATATAACTGCTATACCCATTACAGAGAAAATGCGTTTTCAAAATAAACTCAAAACAAGTTACAAACAACATTATAAACATATCATGAGCAATATTAACATAGAAATTGGTCATCTTTTAAATGATATATATATTCCTTTACGATTCGAAAATAATAATATATCAATAGAACTCAAAAATCTTTTCATCAAATCTCGTATACTCATGCTTGGTGAAGCTGGATGTGGTAAAACGACAGTTTGTCAATATATAACATATTCATGGGCTATTGGAAAATTATGGAGAAACCAATTCGAATGGATATTCTATATTAAAATACGAAATTTAATTTCTGAATTCTTTCCAAAACAACCTAATAATTATTCCTTAATTAATATTATTGAGAGAGAATGTTTTCAAGGATCTAAACTTCATAATTTAGACAAACAAAAATTAACAAATATGCTTGAAAATTCATCAAATATTCTCTGGATTCTTGACGGATGCGATGAACGAATGATTCCAAGACATTTACTTTCGATCGAAAGGGAATTATTAGAGAAACCAAATCTTCTTTTAACATCTCGACCATATGCAATACATAATTTTAAAAACGTTGCTCAAGTACAGGTTCAAAATTTTACAGATCAAGATATTGAAAAATATATATACAATTATTTTTCATTAACTCTTCGAACTAGAGGCAACAAATGTTGGTTATTTATTCGTTCTTCTGAACAATTGCTACGAACAGCACGTATTCCTGCGTGCCTTGAAATTATTTGTAATTTATGGGAGAATGGCACGGTAAGATTAGATTCTGACATGATGATGGGACAACTTTATCAAAAAATGTGTAATTATCTCTTACGACGATATCTGTTGAAATATCATCGTCTATGTAAAGCTGCTCTAGCTAGAAGAGATATTTATCAAGAACCCAAAGCCAGAGCCTTTGCTCATTTAGAATATCTCGCATTTCAAGCTACAAAATCACATCAATTTACAATCAGTGGAGAAGAAATAACCAATGTTGCAAATTCATTATTCCTCTCTGTACTTCAAATTGGTTTACTTATACCTGAAACACAAAATTCTTCTCCATTTACTAAAAAAATCTATTATTTTATTCATCGTAGTTTTCAAGAATATCTTTGTGCTTGTTATATAATCAAGACATTAGAATCATCCAATTCAAATGAGCTAAAGAGAGAAGTAATTCAATTTATAACTTATGAAAAATATAATCGTCATACACGAGAAACATTTCGTTTATTCTTCGAGTCGGAACGCTCCAATTTGTGTACCGAACAATTTTGGTCAGCTATTGACAGTGAACCACGAGATCTTATTGGTCTTCGACATTGTTCTCGTATTGCTCAATGGTTTCCTAATGGAAGCTGTATATTTCCTCGTGAAGACATACAAGAGATTAATCGAAGGACGATCGATGCGATACTAGGATGGATATCGAACCGAGATCGTCGAGCTCATGATTTTGGTAATACATACATATTCGAGTGGTTTGCTGATGCAATTAATCATTATAATTGGTTGTCAGCTTGGAGAGATGATCTTTTCATAGAATCTTCATTAGGTCGACGGTATTTCCTACCTGACTTATGGTCGATAGAGAACATCAATACTCTTAAAAAAATCTATGATACAATTCCAAAAAATGTGTATGCATTACATCGTCTTATCACGACAGGACCTACTGTAATTAGTCTCAAACGCTTGCTTCTTGACCCTAATCTATTCATTTTAAATACAGTTGATCATTCAGCTGAAACATCAGAATTTATAATAGAAGCGCAAAAACAAGCTAAAAGACGCGAAGCAGTTACTACTCTCGCAGAATTTCAAGTACTTTTACAAAATTATACATCTTTCGCCAACCTAAATCATCAATTAGCGACGATTGGTAAAGAAATATGGAAATTAGAAATAGCTCCATCTGCATTGGAAAATATCGATAAAGAAACGTTAGATCTTCTCTCACAATTATTACAACAGAATATACTCTTTTTCCGTGACTTTAAATTGCCTGTGATCCCTTTTCTCAAGCTCTATGCTAATCAAAATGACTTAGATGATGATATTCTTTGTTCATGCATCGTTTTGATTACTATGTCAAGTGATTGCCTTCTCACAGCGTCGCCTGATCAAAATAAGCTATTTCAAGTTGATGAAAAAGAAACATTTACTGATATTACACTGGATCAACAACGTTGGCTCAGACTTCTTAAAACATTCGATCATGCTCGTCATATCTATGGATATTCTACTTTTTTTGAACAAGATAATTAGACATTTATACATTTCTTTATTTTATTTTACTTTAATCGCAGAAATAGTGGAATATTCTTGCGTCATAGGGTGTGGATGTGGGTATGGTTGCGCGTGTGCATGTGGATCTGCATAGAGGTTGGTTGGAGTAGAAGTTTTCTCTTCGCCAATATCTACACTGACACGGACTCACCCAACAACACACTCACACCCACACACCCACATCCCACATCCTCGACAATAACTTTTTTTTTCTTCATGGGCAAAACAAAACATTAACTATTTATGAAAATTAATAAAAAAGAAAAGCAAAAAGATATTTGCGGATATTTCAAACGATTTAATTTTCAAAATATTGCCGATGAACTCGAAAATTTTATTAATTATTATTTTTTTCTTGATGATTAATGTCGAAATGAAAATACAATAAAACTAACCAATAAAACACTGACTTCAACTAAATAATAAATACAAAAAAAAAGAGGTGTTTTTTTAATAAATTTTATTTGACATTAGTTTTCTTACTTTTAAAAGATAATCGATCTTTTGATGATGACTTTAGTTACAAAAAAAGAATATTAATTATATGATATGAACAAAATCAATCAACTTACACTCAATGTTGAACTAATTATTGTAGAATTAATTCGATTCATTGTTGTACTGATGCTTGTCATTATATTTATTGTACTATTCATTGACAAAACTGTAGTGCTTGTAGTGATACGAGTTGTTAAAAGAGTCGAATTGATTGTATTAATAACACTTGATGTGCTTTTATTCACATTAGACAGATTAGTTGTAGTAAGTATGACACTACTATTGTTTCCAACAGTCGAACTTGTTGTGCTTGTTACTGTTGTACTAGTCACCGGCATTGTTAAACTCGTTAACTACAGAATATATAATATTTTACAATACGTACATCGATTATTTACTTTGTCCGTTGTTGTGGTTGTTGTTACTGTTATCGCTGTTATTGTTGTTGTTGTTGATGGTGGTGTCGTTGTTATTGTACTGATGGGTTCTAAGAAAAAAACAAAATAAATAAAATAAGAGTATAATGAACGTATATGTAAATTATTGATACCACAATAAAGATCAATTAGAGTTATTTCATCAATGGCAATATAAAATGGCTCTGCTTTTGAAGAACCGCGTTCGAATATAAAAAACATCTAAAGTAATTATCTAATAAGTTATTTAAAGAAAAGTCAAATTTACATTGGAAATTGAATTAAATATTTGAAAATTTTGTCTGATTTCATGCCATTTGTTAGCTACATATGATGAAACTGTGAGAATAGTTTGGTTTTGATGTGTTTGGGAATCTTCTAAGATAATTCGAATAGTTCCATTTGAATTTCCATCAGAAAAATAATAAAATAATCGTATACAATGATGACCAATTGATAAAATTGGAAGTGATTCTAATTCATAAGAACGAGATCCTATTTGGTTTTCTTCAAATTTTTCATATCCATATTCGCCTAGATTAATATAATAAAATTATAAGTATGAAAGATTTTTATTTTTGAAAATACCTTCACTACAATTTATTTTAGGACCATTTTCATGTTCAACAGGACATGTTGCTGGAAGATCAGGATCAGTTTTTAAACAGAAAAACATATCAAATGAATTAATTTTATAAGGAAAAAAGCATTTTCCTTGATCATTCGATGTAACTATAAAATAATATGAATCTGAATCCGATAAGTAATATTTTATTTCTTACGAATAGAAGTAACATCGGAAGCAGGTTGTCTTATTTGTTGACTTGTTTCATTTAATAAAACAAATGAAACTGATGGAAGACCTTTCAAACATATTTGTCCATAATCAAAATCACACGTCCATTCATTACTCAAAGAAAACATTACAAATATAACAATAAGAGAAATCATTTTTTTTTCTGTCTTCAACTGAAGTAACTCATTCAATCAATGAATCTCTATTTAAATAGAACTTGAAATCAAACCATTTTTTCATGTATTTTTTATTTTTGATAATACAATAAATAAATGTTGATTTAATATATAATAGTACTTAATACTAATATTAATCTATGATATTGTCTTCGTATATTATCTTTTCAGCAAATACACACTGCAAGATTGTTCTTTTTTCGTAAAGAATATAAAATACTTGAAGATATCTGTCGTTGAATGAAAAGCAGATTACGAATATAAAAAATATATATTTATTATGTTGATCAATGTAATCAATTAAGGATTCTTTCAGAAAAAGCCAATGTTGGTCAAATACATAGATTTTGTTATGTATAATTTGTTTATTCGAGCAAACTATCTACTCTCCAATGCACTATAGTTTATTGATCTTATGATGAGATTTAAGTATATTCCATAGGTTTTTCTGAACCCTTCTACCGAGGAAAATAAAGCTTTTTGTACAAAATTTTCACTTTACGCTTCCGTGCATCCCAGATTTCTTCGTCATTTTAAACACTAAAAAGCTCAGTTTAGGTATGCGTATGGATGTGGGTAAGTGTGGATGTGCGCGTGTGGGTATGGAGCCTTTTTCTGCTCTACACTCACACCCACTCACTTTGATTGTCATATTTTTCTGTTCTATTATAATATGCTAATGAAAAACATTCCACATTGACCAGATCAGCCGAGAAAAAGAGAAATCATCAAAACTAATTACATCGACACATTATTTTAGGGATGCAACAAATCTCGAGATAGATTTGGATTCGTTATCTGATATTTATTTTGGTTTCGATTTGTTATCTAATGTTTGGATTTTGTTTTCAAATACCCAAACAGTTTGGATTTGACAATATAATTTTTCAGTAAACTCCCGCCATAATAGAAGACCTCCATTAAGGGTATGGGTGTGGGATGGGTGCAGTTGTGATTGTGGGTGCGACTTACGACATTAAGTATATTCACACGCACCCCAAACATCGCTTCTTCGTCCAAATAGGGTGTGGGTGATAATCTTCTTTTCAAAATCGCCCACCCACACCCACACCCCACAATCACACCCAGAGCCAGACCCTCAAATTATTGAATGAAAACAAAGATTTTTTCCATGAAAACCAAATAGAATAAAAGCAAAGCAAAGCAACGCTAGTAATCTGGATTGTCAAATTTTATGCTTGAGAAAAGCAAAAGAAGACATACAACATCGAAAATTAACATTATTTAATGAGTTGAATAAGAAGCATTGTTCATATCATGGATAGTGCATTCAAGTTTAGGACGATGGATGTATGCGTTGCAACCAACACGGACAGCGCTTGACTATGAATCTATAAAGACCTAACAAATACCATACGAAAATGTGGAGACCTGCAGTCAATCCACCATACAATCCAAGCAATGTTGTGAATATGTAAACAACATTATGTTGTTCCATATAATGATATTGACATATTGACGGAGCACATATTTCAAAATATGCAGAATAATTAGCTGAAAAATTCAATAATGCTTGAGGATACTCATCTAGAATCGATCCAATTGGAGTCGTTAGTGGAAGCTCCGTTGCATTAAGATTAAATTTAGCGAATGAACTACCAAAAACTTCATTTAGTTGGTTGACACAAACATCATCATAGAAACATTCAAATGTCGACTGTAAAAGACCACTCATGATTGAACATCCAATGACAATCCCTAAATAAATGAAATATCAATGATATACAATTTATTTTTTCAACTATCATCTTTTAATCATAGACCTTTTTGAAAATTTCAACAAGTCAATGAACAATGATAAAAGCCTATGAGAAAGCTTGATTAAAGAGTTTACCTGGAAATATATGTGGATCACCGATCGAATCATAATATATAGGTATCTTTGTACAATTTGATTTACCACTTGGACAAAAACAAGTACCATTGTTTAACAAAACTGGACTGTTACGAAGAATGTAGTTTTCATGTAAACTCGAAAATTCTATTTTCCAGCTTGTCATATATTGATTATGAAATTGGTTTGCTTGAAGCATATCAGAAACCGATTTATAAGCATGGGCTGATGAGACCACATAATTCTTATTCATCGCACTTATAAACAAATTAAACCATAAATTAAATGTTTGTAAGGAAATTGCTTCAACTGATATCAAATGTCCCTGAGAATAGGCGTATATCGACCCGATTGAACTATACCTTCCTAAAATACATCGGCTATGTAGGATACGAAATTGTGATAGGATGAGGTTCCAACCGGATTCTTCCCAGAGTATGTTTGCTGGTAATGATAACATCAGGTATGACACTTCTGATACGATCTGGGAGCAGCCTTCTTCGAATGTCACTGAGTCCGTTGAAAAATTCCTACAAGGTATAACTATATTTGTACAAGGACATGATAAACTATCAGAATATTGGCTGTAAAGAAATGAAAAGTAAGTTTCATTTGGTGAATCTACGCTTATCAATATTGTCCGATGATGAAATCGTACGAAAACTGAGATAATCACGAAACATAGAATAACTAGAAAAATATAGATTCTTGTTGCTAAATGTTGATATTCCACTTCTCGTTTTCTTCGGTACACATTCATGAGATAAAGCTCATCTCGGATACGGGTAATAATCATTCTCCAACGTAAAGGAATGTCTAAAATAATTCAAGATAATTAAATAATGGAAGAAAAATATTTCTCACTTCGTGTTTGCTGATAGCACAAATGACCAATCAGATAGATAATTTTCATGAATGATGGAACTAAGAGACGAAGTAGAACAGTTAGTCCTCCAATCAGACCAATAACTAAGTTAACACGAGCAATAAGATGTAATTCCTGATCTATTGTATATGTACATATCTCTGGCTGACATTGAGCATAGTACAATGTATAATTTGCTCTATAGATCCATTGATTAACAAAAGCGATTGAGAAGAAATTAGTTAATAGGTATTTAGGCTCAAAACGGATGAGATCGTTCGGATCAAGTGCTGTTATATTACTCAAGTCGATTGGTAAATAGATATTTTCATAACCGTAAAGACGCTGATCAATCAGCATCTGAACACATGATTCATTATAAAAACATTCTAGTGTGGAAAAACCAAAATCTACAAGTTGACAACCAAGATATAGACCAGGAATAATTTGATATGGTGCGGCATTCGTTTGTGTGCATGACGATGAATAGCAATAGAATCCCAATGGTTTTAAACAAGAATAAACTTGTCCACAATCACATGGCAGATTATTATAGTTATTGGTGATATTTGGAGCATACTTTAGAATCCATGTGCTATTGATCTGTCTAGAAATCACAGAAGGATCAATAAAAGCGAATGAAATTAATCCACTCTGTTGAATACTTTGTTCCACTGGATATAATTTAGTCCAGGCTATATCGAAAATCTAGATCAAAAATACAATGATATATTTTGCTTTCAGTGAGACTAGAATAAAGTTATTTTGCTTTTCCAGAATTATCAACTTATGTTTTTCCTTCCTTCCTTCTGTAGAAGATCAATATCACCATTGATATTCTTCATATAGTAGGAAAGACTGTCGTACAGTTTAACGGAAAATTCCGATTTAGATGTTCGAAAGTGTAAGAAAACATGTTTTTAAGCTATCTATTTTTCATTGTATTCTACCTGGGTTCGAAAAGACATTTCCCAATCGTAAATTGTTCCATTGAATTCTAGTTGAGTGATAGGTTGAGGAGAGAAAAAATACTCTTCTTGAAACGAATTCACTATGCCAGACAAACTTATATTGACTATGTCACAGTATATTTTAACATAATTAAAAAACTTCAATCCATTCTTGCGAAAATCAGTCCAATAAAATAGTGGAGTAGGATCGATACTGCCATTGAGAAACTTCATTGTCCAATATTGGAACCAACGATCATCACGAACAAAACTACTTGTACAAAATGGATGAATTTGTACTTCATTGGATATGAATGTTAAACGTGGTATCAATGAATAACGACATGGACATGAAAGAATCGATAGATTCATGTCATGAAGATGTTCAAATTCATCCAGACTTGGATTTCTGACAATGATTTGTTGTGAACTAACTATTGATGTAGAATAAATGGTCAAAATACAAATACCAAGCATCATCAATATGATATAGACACGGGTAGAATAAATACCATGTTGAATATTGGTGAAAGTTGTCTTGAACAAATTCAATGTGATAACTTTTTGATAAATTAACGTAACGAAATTCCATATACGATCTTGGAAATCTATGGAAAGAAAAAGTACAAGAAGAAAAAATATATAATGAAGCAGAGATTGACTTTACTTCTTTTTGGTTCATGTCTTTCATTAGCTTCTAGCATTCGAACTCGTCGATAAGGTGAACGTAATATGAATTTGACAAACAATGGAGATGTTATACGCAATACTATGTTAAGTCCACCAAAGACACTAGCTATGATTGTGATCATGTAAATGAGAAAAAACCGTTGTAAATATGAATATGAACAGGCTTTGGGTGCACAAGTTTGGAAGTAGATGGCAAAATCAGTAGAGTTCTCCCAAGATTCAACCATTAGATTGTCAAAAAGAACACCAATAGTTGTTGTTGGACTGAATCGTGAAAAAGAGTTTGAAATATTCAGAGCTGAGACAGTGCGAAGAGCATCAGTCAACGAAATCACGATGTCTAAACATGATTGATTATAAAAGCATTCCAATGTTGATTGAAGTAATGCATTTTGTGGTACACATCCAACTTGAAATCCTGGTACAATGAATAGAGGCGATTCATCAAGTGAAAAGACTTCATTCGAAACAATAGTTTGTGATTGATTATATATGCCAGCAGGATAAACACAATCACTTGTACGATCACATCGACATGTTTCATTCGACATCAATGAAGATGGAGTTTGGTTAACTTGTTGTGGATAAATGGCAGAAAAAGTTACAGAAATATTACTATCAGGAACACTTCTCGTATAGAAATTTGTTCGTAATGCAGATATAAAATGATTTTCTTCGACAAGAGATGACACAAAATGATAGTATGAACGGAAGCTATCAAGTGTATTTTTCTGAAATTGTTCAATAGATGTGCCAATATAACTATTGATTATATCACGTGACAATGCATTTGGTGACAATATTGTTGTTGAAGAAAATCCTTTAAGAGCATCGATTACAAATTGGCGTGATGTTCGACAAAGAACAGATAAAACTTGAAATTGTGCAGAAGCCATCAAACGAAAGTCAAGAGTATAGTAATTGCTTGTATTAACATTGAATAAAGAGGAAAACCATTCTTCACTGACGAAATCACTTGAGCAAACTTGATGAAATCGGGGATTCAACGACACATATTGTGAATAAGGAATTGATGTTTGAGAACAGCGGCACACAACTGTTGTTGTGTATCTATTGACAAAATGTTCGAAATCATTGAGAGATGGTGAACGAACAGTGATTAAACGTATTTGAGGAATAATACCAGTAAATGATAGTATAGTTAAGAGAGCGATCAAAAGTGAGATAATGAAAACACGCGTAGATAAGAGCTGATCATCTAGAGTCAACTTATCATCGTCATCATATAAGTTCAGATTCCTGATGAAATGTATAAATTTATTTTTGAGTTGGACATGAGTACTAGCTTGAGTAATCATTGATCTAGAAGAATATTTGTTAACTGCACTATGCAAATCTTAAATGTGTATCGATCGATCGAAAGGTTAAATGTATAATTTCACTACTCTAATGATCTATGAATCTACAGATGAAATCAACGTTAATGAATAGTTTATTTCTTTTTACTTCTTTAGAAAAGCAACAAGTCATTAGAATTGTTGCTTTTAAAAGTTATTCATTATATATTCTTCTTTTTTTTTTTGTCTATTCTATTCTCCAAATGACTTCCTCTAAGCATTAACTTTGATGATGTATGTCTCTTTTTCTTTTTTCTTGTATAATTAGTGAAAAAAGCCTTTTTTAATATTGTTTTAGATATAACTGAAATAATGTAATAGCTCGAGAAATATCATTATTGTGAGTAATGGAGAGAGATACTCTTCTAGTTTGTGATATGCTTTCATTGTTTTAATTTCGAATATTTGTTTGAATGATACATTCTTACTCGCTTTGCAGCTGTGCTTTAACTGCTCTTAGATAATTACTTTAAATTTTTTTTTTGCTATTCAGAATGATTTTATTCGTCAAATATTTTTATGCTTCTCAAAAAGTAATTACTTTAGTTTTCTTTACTAACAAAGATGTTGTGCTATTTTTTAACAGAATCAAAAGTAGCTGATTGGATACTACTCATATTTCTATGTGAATCAATACATTTTATTTTTAGTGAAAGATAATTCTATTCTCGTGTAGTACTGATAAGTCAATGACTTGTTTTGTAACACTGTGGTCTATAAATTGTTGACGAAAAGTTCTTGTTAAATCTTTCATTTACAATACTGCTTTATTATCCTTCGTTACTCATGAATGACAAATCTTCTTTTAAACTACTGCTATCAACTAATTGAACTTTTTTCTTTCACTCGAAAAAATCAATTAATCATTGCAGCATTTTCATTTATTTTGTTACAGCTAACATAATTTTCTCGTTTTTCAATTTGTGAGAATTCATTGCTGTCCCTGATTGGGAAACAATGTATAGATTGCAGTTGAACTTTTTAAACAAAATATCAGTAAATCATGGATGCAATAATGTGAATAAAAAGAAGAGCAAAAATCAAGTATGAATGCATTTCAATTTGAAATTAAAATTTAATTCTTAGTAACAATAGGAAAGTGATTCAAAAAAAAAATAGCCTTGTTTTCTCTTTATTATTTTTTTTTTCTTTGTGCAGATATGTTTCAATAAAGTATGAACAATCTCAAATTTTTATGCGAAACAAAAGCAGTATATCACTTAATAATTTTAATTGTCCTCATTCTTTCTTCATTTCTCAAGAAATTCAGAAATAGTTATGTTCGTTTAACGCCTCGTCTAATGCTGAATCTAATAATATAATTTTGATCGTATCTTCAAGTGACGTAGTCAAAAAAGTACCTATAGAATTAAAAAAGTGGGGGAAAATGGTGATTTTCATGTAGAAAAATGCCATTTTTTTCATTATTTAATTCCCTGGATGTTCAACATCAGAAAGTGTGGCTTAACTGAAAAGTATTTTGACCACTGTTGAAAGGACATCAACTTTCAATAGGTTCATACTTTAATTTAAAAGTCTACATTATCTTACTGCTCATATGACAGAGAAAACTTAGATATTAATTTATTCTTTAGCTACACTACCACTGTAAACGATCGTTTTTTTTCTCTGATTACATATTCTTTATGTTTTGCCAAATGAAATATGATTGAAATATACAGAATTGATAAGATATCTTGGCACTTCAGAATCGTATATATAATACTTAAATGTTAATTTATCTGTAAAGTCTATTCATACTTTAGTGAGTGAGGATTGTATCGAGACTCTGGTTTCCTTGTTGACCTTGGTCGCAGAAATGGTCCCGTTATTTGTAAATATGTTTGATCTTGATCTTGTTGTCGTTTTATTTTAGTTTCATTATGAGTTCGAAACGTGAACTATGAGATGCTCGTATTGGTACCAAAGAAAACATGAAAACTACAGAGATATCATATTAAATAAACATGTAAAATACGATTTGATGCAACCTGTATCTGCTCTTTCCGACTTAAAATACCTACATGACTCTCCCACTCACTTACTCACCCTGAATAAATCTAAATAGACTTAATATAAACAAAAATAGTTACGATTTGACTCGATATATTCCATCTATTCTTCCTAGTTCCCTTGGTAATGTATAATGAATGCTCAGTATACGCAGAAAAGAAGTATGCTGGTGTTTGAAAACGGATGCGTTTTTTTGTATATGTATTACAAAGAAAAAATTGGATCTATATGAATATATCTCCCTTCTTTATACGTTAATCGGTAATGCAAGAATTATTATGCGTATAAAGTTGGAGAATCTTCGTTTAAAGATATTCTTGTCTGAATATTTCTCTTAGACATCTGCTTTTCCATTTTGAAGTTATCTAAATACGTTGCAATAACAATTCATACAAGGCGAGAAACTGTTGAAAATACATACTTCTTGATTAATCAAAACTCGCACCAATATTCAGGAGAACACCGGAGTCCCAGATCAATAAAATATATAACCATTCGTGTTGTATGAAAATTTTATTTGTGAATGGAAAATTGAAAATGAAAAATATGTGACAAAGATTTTCTTCAAAAAGGATCACTAAATAATGGTCAACTGGAGTCTACTTTGTCCAGATATTAATATTGTGTTAATAATGTATAGAAAAAATCTGTTCATTACGGAAAAGTCATTCAGAGTAGAGATAATTAAGTTTATTGAGAAGTCTTGTGCATTCATCATTCATAGACGAGATGCTCAGTGCAATGATTAGAGATTGTTGCAGTGAATTAATTTTTATTTATATAAGTCAGTAGAGAGAAATTATGTCATTATAAACTATAGAAATCTATGTATATTACACAACTAGGATAGTTCTATTAAAGGATAGATGAAGATATCTTTGTAAACAATAAGTTCGATATTCGTATAATATAATTCATCTCATCAGAATCAAGTGACTTCGATCGAACGACTTCTGTTGTTCTTACTCGTGGTCACTTTCGTCGATTGTTGAAAATAGAATGCATTATCGACACTAAACTCGCAATCAGAGTACGTGAGAGTAGATAAGAGCGTACTTGATTAGTATCGGCGGAATAAAACTGACTTCGACAAAACGAATATTTTTCATGTGTATTCATAGTTAAGACATAATTTTATACAACTAGGACTGATTTGCTTCCTGATGTACAATTACAACCGTCTGGATAATATTTTGATTACTCTTCGAAATAAAAGCATTGACGTTCTTTTAAAAAGATATTAGCATTATGTTCAGGGTGTGGATGTGGGTGTGGGTATGGGTGCGAATGTGAATGAAAGTAATTTCTTCAACCACACCCTGACTTGTTGTTCAATGTGCAATTTGATCATGGTTAATGGTGTCGAAGCAGCATCGCCGAATTTCGCCGGTCGACCAAAATACATTGGAAACGACATACGATCATTAGTGAAATTTGCAGTCATCTTTAATACTTAGTCAAGACAATCGAAATAGATCAATATGAAAAGATAGTTTTTTATTCCATGAACCAACTATGACTAGCTATGTGCTCTTGTTCTTCAACATCAAGCAGAACAATGTGCGCAGATGAAGTAAACATATTCTCACCTCTTCATGTTTTATTCGAGGTGTGGGTAAAAGAACGGAAGAACAACTGTTTTTCGACTGCTATTTGTCCACAACTCTCAAATATTACTGTGGTTGACAGATGGTTATGTCTACGTATTACTCAATGTAGTCAATATATACATATCAAACTGATTATTGATTGTGTGTTGAAAAAAAAGGTTTTTGACTTGCATAACTCCTATGAAAGACGAGGAAGAAAAGAAGGAAAATAATCCTGTTATCGTTGTAATGTTCGTTGTTTTATAGAGCAGTCGACTGAGTCATGCCTTATTTTTGTCATGAATAAATATGTGCGCAGCTCAGAGAGAAAAGAGAAAATGGAATAGAATAGACAAATCTTTATTTGAGAAATGCTTTCTAAAGTCCGAAGGCGTCAGTTGACGATACTAATTGGCTTAAGCTCATGTCTGAAACAAAGAATACATCTTACTCATTCTATAACAAAAATAAAAGAATAAAAGCACTAAGTGTCACGGGATTTAATCATACTTTTTCTAGAGAAAATCCTCTTTTTAGTGTTCACAGTCTAGCAATTGTTAATGAATATCACAAAAATCAGATGTAGATTTCCGATGAAATTACATAGAACTGAATGACTATAATCAGAAAATTATTGATTTTTACAAATAAGTTTATGTTTATATAATTGCCAATCCATAGTTTGACATTCTTTTGAACAATACCGTGCTTGTTTACATTTTCTACAAGCATGTAGTGCATTAGGTTCGCCACAACATCGACACATATTGATCACTCGTTCGGATTCACTTTGCATCAAAATCGATGAAAAATCATCTATACGAATAAATGGTTTTATGTCACTTGCACCTATTCTTAAGTATGGATTGATAATATTCATTTTACTTCCAATGGTATAGACTTTACTGGTTAGATATTCTCCTTGTTCTTTGGTAAAACCATAAATACCAATTCGTTCACAATCGAGATTTTCATCTTCAATCACAAGATGAATTGATGGAGTCCACGAATGAGTTGCGTCGATGATTGTCACCGAAAGCACATACCCGCTATAAATATGATCTCTTGTTG